CATAAAATATATTTACAAATAAATTTTAGAAAATTCAAAAAACCATGTCCATAATAGAGTGCAGAGACAATAGTATTCTTATTAAACATACATTATATTAATTAAATAATTTTTAATTATTTCATCAGTAATTTAAACATATCACTCCAACTTTTTATTATTTTAACTTCATATATTTAATAGTTAAATTGATCATGCATTACAAATTTAATATTAATTGTACATAACTACCTCATTAATTATTTACATTATCACTTCAACAATTTATAACTATAATTTCACATATCTAATAGTCAAATTGATTACATATTAGTGACAAAGTTTAGCACTATTTATTTATAATTATTTCATCAATAATTTATAATTATTATTTTATTATTTTAAAATTATAATTTAAAATATCTAATAATTAAATTAATCATACGCACTGTCAAAATTTAACATTAATTGGTTAAAACTAATTTATTAGTAATTTACAATTTTATTTTAATTTTTATAATTATAATTTTATATATTTAATAGTTAACTGATTATATATTATAGTAAGAAAAGTATTACTTTTATACCATAATTTTAAATTATATTCAGTCCAAAAAAATTGATTGTAATTTCTAAATCTTGCTTCTATAAATAAATTGTTCCACGGGAGCCATGTACAAATAAATGTAACGTTTTGAAAAGAAAAGAAGAAAAGAAAGAAAGAAAGAAACAAAAGGGTTGGGGGTGGGGGGGCGTCTAAAGTCCCCGAAGCGTAGCGGAACGCGGTAAGGCTGTAACAAATTCCAGTTTAGCGTGGTATCGACTTCAACGCTCTGCGACGGTGAAGGAGCAAAAGAAGAAGAAGAAGTTTATCGGTTGAACGCTCTCTCGAGAAAATGGTGGCAACGAACGTGAAGGCGGAGACGCTGTCTCTTATGGACAAACGTGCTGCGATAGAGGTGGAGATGAACGCAATCATCGAGCGCCTCAATCAACCTGGTGGTCCCGGGCTTTCCGGCAATCTCGTTGATTCTGAGGTTTTCTTTCGATTCTGGTTATATACTTTATTTTCGCGCCTCCTATTTGGTGTTCGATGACTAATTATTGCAATTCAGTATACTTTGCTAGGAATTTGAAGTATCTTCACCGTGTAAGAGTGTTAATTAGTTGATCAATTTTCTAGGGATTTCCTCGAACGGATATTGACATTCCAGTTGTTCGTGCCGAGCGACGTCGTCTTTCTGGTATGAATCCCGTTCCCAGTATTTGTTTTTGATGAATAATTGTATAAACATGTGGCATTTCAACAAATTGAAGGGCTACCTCGAGTGACATTTGGGCCTAAAGTTGGTCATCACATCGAATAGCATAATTTTGCTACAGAATGTCGTGATGTAATAAATTAATTGGCTTTAAGATAGGAGCTAGAGTAGCGTTGGTTTTACTTCATTGTCCTGCCATTTTTTTAACCCTTATTTCCCCCTCCTCATCCATGCAGAGCTGCGTAATGATCACAAGGAGATCAGTGAGAAAATAAATCAAAACATACAAATTTTGCATGCAGCAAGACTTGGAAATAAAACGTCACTCCTCAAAGTTTCAGGTACGCTTCCACCAAGTAATGAATGTTGTTATACCATTTGTTGAGAGGTAACTATGGCTTCTTATTGATGTTGCCTTCTGGAACTTTGTTCCTGAAGATAATATATTTTGTACTCCCCCACGTACAAGTATGATTCATAAGGTGTATTCTTTTTTCCCAGTGGTTATATGATGCTTCTCACTTTGGTGAGTGAAGATATGGTGAAAGATATACAAGAGACTTGAATTCACCGATAAAATAATGTGTGTGTGTATAATTTTTTCCTGCTGTGACTGAAAAATAGCTGTTCTTTGATTTAACTCATCTAGAGTAGTTTCTCTACGGTGATATTTCCTTAGATTATGCTGTAAGAACTCATGAGCTGCACTTTTACCACCACGACCAGGTCAGGGCCTGCATGTTTCTGTGTCTGTATCTCAATCTACAACTAGTGGTGCCCTAATTCCATAAGAGGCATAAGGAAGAAATCTTTGATAAAATGTTGAAGGGTCTTTTGAACCTCCATTGACCAAGGCCTTGAAAATGCATTGACAAACACTTCCAAGCTGGCTGGCCAATTTTGCTGCCTCAAAGATACCAAAAGTTTATTAAGCAATCTCTCAACGTTAGCAAAGATGACTATTTCTCCTAGCATTTTGTAGTTAAATAAGTTTCTGGAAAATTATAACGTTTTGAAATGTGAAGTTCTTTGTGTTACGTTTCTTCCTTTCCCGTGTCCTAAGTTGGACCTAAAATTACTCCAAGTCTCTAAATAACAATAATGAATGGCATATACTAAATCATATTAAATGTTTTCCTTTCTGCAAGGTGATGAAGATGGACCTAATGCTCAGACTTCATCAACTGTTGAGTCAGGCTCATCAGTGCAAAATGTTCTTCTGAGAGATTCCTCCAATTCCATGGATGTGGATGTGGTTGTTAGTATACCATTTGCGATGGTTGATGAGATATCTGATTCATCACCGGCTGCAGAGGATGGATTACAACTTGGAGATCAAATTTTGAAATTTGGCAGCGTGGAAGCTGGGGATAACTTGCTCCAAAGGCTGGCTTCTGAGGCTCAGTCAAATCTGGGTCATGCAATACCTGTTGCAATCATGAGGCAAGGTGCTATGATCAACTTAATTGTCACACCTAGAACTTGGCCAGGCAGAGGTCTATTGGGGTATGCATGCGATATCGATAAATTTTTTTGTTTTTTTTTTGTTTTTTGCTTTATGACTAGTGTTATTTTATCGCCATCCACATTTTCATTTTGAAAGAATAGGCTTAAACAACCGTGTTATTAATTTTTTTTGCTTTCTCACACTTTCCCATGTTCAAATAATATACCCAAATGGCCAAAATGCTAGTATACCACCAACAGACTTAACAAAATTGCTGGAGAGATTGAAAATAGGAATTGAATTTTGGTGTGTTAAGTTTTTGTCCTTTGGTTCTTTCGTTTTTTCCTGTTCTTTTGCTTCTGGAGGATATCTTTTACTTTTATCTCTATTTTTCTTGTTTCACTTTAAATTATTTCTTTTTCAATAAAAATGTCCATCCTGTTCTGAGCCTCCTTATCGGAAGGTCTATTTGATTTGGGTAAGCTCCTCTTGTATCTAAAGCGGTTTATTTTTGCATTTTAAACTCCCTTCCGAGAAACAATATTGCTGGATACTTGTATTATGATTCACCGTTCTGTTTAACTGAATCTAATTAGCTGTACCCTTGCTGATAGTTAGCTTAGAGTCTTTTCCCCTTGTTCTTGCCCTTAGAAAGCTACACCAGTGGGGCATGCTCCAGTTATGGATTAACTTGTCAAGGCCATTGTATATTACTTCTACTCTAAGTTTTCTATAGTAAGTTGAGCACTATTTTCGGCATCAAAATCATCTCAATACAAGTTATTGGTTGTAGCCGTTATTATAATTAAAATTAATGGCTAATAACCTTGTGATCATAGCCAACAGAGAGCATGAAGATTAAGAAATTATTACTGCTAATAATATGCTATTTATTTATTGTGTGGCTTCCTCTATGTTGAATCCATGCAGATGTCATTTTCGGATTTTGTAGCTGCAATGATTATTTATCGCATGGTGGTGACTGGTGGCAGTTGGAAGAATCTTCCCTTGCGGTGTTCTTTTGTCCTGTGTCTTGGTCGAGGTCTACACTCTACAGTCCTTTATTTTGTATTCGAATGTTTGTATACTCAATGCCTGACCTTAGATTTTTTGTTGCCGTTTTAGGGATTCCAGATTTTCCATTCATGTTTCAGTTTAATGAAAACGCATTTTGATTTTGAACTATCATTGTGGAAATATAAACTAATCTTCACTGTGTTGGTAAAAAAAAAAACAAAAAAGCGATTCGCTGTTAATAGGGCCACACGAGTTCCATTTTTGGTTTCGTTCCCTTGATTTTGTTGTTTTTCATTCCAATTTCAAAATGTATTCTCTTCATCTCTGTTTATAGACGTAGTTATATGGGCTACGGCTATGGGGTGCAAATCCTTCATTAGCTGTCTCTACAAGCACAAAATAAGTTCTTTATTTTCAAATATCATGAATATTTGAACTTTAAACTTTTTCCTACATCGCATCGCATTTTTACTACCCGAGTTTCTATCACTCAAATGTTTTTGACGGCTTAAGTATTTCCTTATGGCCACAGCGTTCACAAAATTACAGACGAAGAAAGTGGAGAGGGCGCGTGTCAGAGGGACAATTGAATAGTGGCCAAGAAATGCCTTAATTGTTGGCGATCCAGAAACAAGATGGTGCACGCTTGTCCATCAACAAGGAGTACTCAGACAAGAAAACACAAACCCCATCTGTTTTATCATTGCCATCTCTTTCTCTAGCTGTCCAGCACACTTTAAATTTAAAGTCCTTAATGGGGAAACCCCTCTTGCCCCACCCCTAAATCACAATCACCTTGTGCCACACTCTCACCTCATACTTGAAACCAATCACTAATATTATTAGAAATATTCTTGCATATTTCTTTATATTTAAAATTTTTCGGTGAATTGAGTTGTAAAAATTGGCTAGAGCAGAGAAAAATCTCACAAATTAAAAATCATTTGTAAAAATTTTCACTTATCATCCACCAATAAAATTATCCCATCGATGATAAGATTCGAATCTATACTCTTATGGGATATAAATCTCATCTTTATTGACTACATCAATCTTCATTAGCTTGTAAATATTATATTGCACTTATTTTCATTCAAATTTATTGTAATACTTAAGCACTTGCCAACTTGCATAGTGTAAGCTAAAGATCCTTCACTAAAATGATAATGAAGTCCCAAATTCTTCCTCGTGAATTTTTATTAGTTCATTGCATATAACTAAGAAATTTTGCAACTATCTTGATTCTTGAGGAATGTGTAACTCAGAATTTCATTGAATCCCTGCTTCCGCGTCTCTGAAAGAAAATTATAATCACTTGCTTTAACTGTACAGAAAATAGTAACACCAGTTTAAAAGGCTGCCTGAAGAAGCTTCATACAACATTACAGGTACAGGGTTGATTTCATTCACTTGAGCTTTAGTAAAAATCTACAATCTAAGAATCCATCATCATAATCAAGTTCAGGGAGAATAATATGAAATTTATACACAAATTACCCTCCATCATTACTCAATCTAAGGGCTAGCATTGAATCAGTGGACAGGATGACACTGCTGATAGAACCTGGAGGCTCTGTCAGCCAAGACAGTGGAACCATCATTCTGAGGAGAAACTCAAATCATCAATGGCAATGGACAGATCTGATTCTATCACTTTATCACTCTCCTTTTGTTCACGAGCATTGTTCATGATGCCATTCTCTTCCTTCCCTTCTGCTGCAGCTATACATTCGTGGAATCTGAAGCAGCTGATGAGATGGTCATTTGTTAACCCAGCTACCTGCATGAAGGAGTACACGACGGTGGGCCCCACACCACGGAATCCTCTTCTTACCAGGTCTTTACTAATCACATCGGCTTTTGGAGTTTTTACAGGAACCTGTCGAGGATATCGGAATCTACTAGCTATAGGCTTGTGGTTCACAAAACTCCATATATACTTGTCAAATGACCCAAATTCATCAACAACCTGCCATGAGTAAAACCTGCAAAAAGTTAGGTAAAGAGACAATAATAGCTACAATGCAATAATGGCAGTTCAATTAAAGAGAAAAGAAAAAAAGAAAGCAGTGTAGGGATTGATAGTTGAAAAAGTATCATGACTGATAGAGGACCCGGGTCACACCAGCAAAGCAAGCTGGCAGAATAAAGAATCCAAATAATTAGGTTGCATATCACTTTGTAAACTAGACTACTACAAGCTCAGGATGTACGGAGGATTATAACATGGTTCGTCCTACATGGGTCATGTAAATTTAAAAAGGATCACGTTCACCATTTCAATTACCTTATTACCTAATCTACCAGATTAAATCATAAATGGACACCAATTATAAGCCACTCATTTGATCATTAGCCAAAAAAGCTTCTTTCATTTGATCATGCTGAGAATTTAAAACATCCTAAGAGACAACAGTCATGCATATAAAAGTGACAACAGCAGATCAATACAGAAAATAAATAAAGAAATAAGGCCACCATACTTAAAAAGGCATTAATACAGGACCCTAGGATCATATTTTATATTCATATTTAGCAATAAAGAATTATGATTTGCAACCTAGTCCAGCTGTTAAAGTCACAATATTGCATGGGATTGCATTCAAACATCAGTTCCCAAGGCATTACAGCAAAATACCATAAACCTATATCTCATGGTTCTTTTAGTTTTTCCAATGGTCCAGGAAAAAAGAAAGAATTGCCAACAAACCCAGGAGTTACACTTATTCTGAGACAAAGGTTCGCAAATCAAGAGGAAATAATAATCTACCTTTGATGTTTGATGTGCATTCTCAATTATAGCACGCAATTTAAGTTCTGAAAGAAGGGAACTTGCAGTAGTTCCTGGTGCAATCATTTTCTTTTCATTCAATTTTGAGACAGCTAATGGATCGAAGTCTGCAAATACTTCCCTGCAAAAACTCTTGTTAGCAAAAATAAAAAGGACAAAGTGAAGAGTTTCCTACAGCTGAGGTTAAAAAGTTTGTGGCAGCCACTATATATCAAGGCTAGATGTAAAAGGAAGCAATGTTGGACTTCTAACAAGGAAATACAATACCTAAAAATGTGCCTTTTGCTCAGAATGACTGGCCAAGTGAGTTCAGACAGTGCACTCGAAAGTACAAGAAGTTCAAACAGTTTCCTGCATGAGATATAGAATGTCAAGCAAAATATTCAACATGGAAAGGTATGTTGATAACATGATTAAAACTGTGTTTAACATACTTGTCATCATGTACTGGAACTCCCCATTCTTCATCATGGAAAGCAGCGTAACACGGTTCTGATTTCAATTTTCAATAGGTGAACTTAGTCAGCAAACAACTTTTGAAAGCTAGTCAAGCTCAAGAGTAACAAATCAAACTATATTGGAGGACTTTCGAGCAAAGGTATGGCTATGGCATTTAACTGGCTCACATACAACAACTCTACTTCCATTAGCATATCAGGTTCATGCGTTTTATTTAGAGTTCCCAAGTTTCTCTTCGATGGAAAAAATCATCAACTCAAATCTATGGAGAAGCTACATATTGAATGGACGTATTTTCCAATAATGATTAGCGACCTGTATTATACATGAATATTTAATGTGACTGTTTTGAAACACATGAATCCAAATGGAGCTATGTTCTTAATGTAGTGCGCAATTTCAAACTTGAAGAACTGAAATTTATCTTCAAGTTACTTGAGAACCAAAATATTAGCTCTTATACATAACAAAGCGAAATGTGTGCTCATTACTGAGAGTCGTTTTTAATATTTAACAGAACCGCAAAGTAAAATATCCACCAAAAAAATTATTGTCTTATTGGGGAAAAACTAAAACCAATTCATTTATTCAATCATTGCCCAGGTCTATTCCATAATCAGAAAGAATGCCACCTCAAGAACCCATCAAGAGTCAAAGAAGATAACTAACCGGTATTAGGCGTGACCCAGGTACACCTCTTCTTTGATTGTGAACCATCAGGTGGAGAATCCAAAGCACCATCAGAAGAAACACTTCTTGGCTTTGACGCAAATGGTTTCCTTCTACTAACTAAGCTATTAGACCGAGTCAATCTGCCTGTAGATGCTCTACTGTGGAATGAATCCGTAGAGGCATCGGATGAACATGAAGCATTCAGAGACAAATTAGAATGCAATAGCTGTTCATGCCTGCGGAGTACTGAAGGAACACTGACAGAATGTGACTTAGGAGAGGAAGTTACGTTTGAAGACAATTGGTGGGTATTTTTCTCTTTGGCTGATGCAACCTCATCCCTCAATTTCTCTGCCTTCCTCTGTGGCTTTGAAGTGGGTTTTCTAGAACTCAATGACCCTGCCTTGTTTCCAGTTGGTCCAAGCACAGGCCTTGCCTCTGAATCAGCAACATTTGTTGACCTCAATCTGGGAGCTCCAGACATTTGTAAAGGAAATATAGTTTCAGAACTCTCCAAACTGGCAATCACTTGAAGTATTCCAACACCAGTGACCCCCCGGTGAGTTCTTGAAATTTTAATGCTCCATCAGCTGACAGTGAAATTCAATGAAACCTTCATTTTTCATTTAGTTAAACGCTTAAAGATAGCAGAATGATAAAAACCAGAGTCACTATCAAATTTTAGCCAACACAAAGTGTGCACTGTGCAGTGTCTTGGCAGTTGGCGCCCACTCTAAAACAGATCTCAGATTTCTACCTCCAAATTGAGATCATTGTAGTCAAAGCTGCTTGGGGACATAACTCAAAATCCTCAAATCACATAAATATACAGTGACAGCCATCTAAAACTTGAAATTCAGAAGCAACCAAAACACTCGACCCCATTCCTCTAATACCCCAATCCATCTAATGTAAGAACAAAACCCAGAAAACCTGAAGCCAGTAGAATTAATCAACACGACATCATCAAAGTCAGTAAGACGGGTTCACCTTTTGACCTACGCTAGGGCTTTAAATGGGTCAACTAGAGGGCTGCATTCCATGTTCATGTAAATTTCAAATGAACTCCACAGAGCCTCGAAACTTCACGACCATTCTTCATTGCGGAAAACGAGAGAGCTTTATAACCTCAAAGAGGAAATGCAAATGTTCAAACTGAGGCGCTCAATTTTTCAGTCGCCCGACAAGGAAAAAGGGCTGACACATTTCCTTTCTTTATAATTCCCATGCTAATTTCCCAGAAAACAGCAGAGAAAGCTCTCGGGAAAATGGCCTTCCATTACCAGGGAGACATAAGAGGAGCGTTAAAGAGAGAGCTGGGTTTGATGATCTAACAACAAAGGTTGAAAACCAAGAAGAATATTTGAGGAAGATGAAGTGAGAGAATCAAAGAGCGAATAGGCCAAGGAAGCGAATGAGTGTAACGATAGAAGAAGAGTGAAAAGATTGGGTTTACCAGGAAATCCGGTTCTTTCTGTGGTAATTTACCGGCTGAGCCGGTACATTGGATTTGGCTCACACGCATGCACACTCCAGATTATTTACTCTTTGAGACCTTGCTTAAGCTAATTAAATGAAATGTGTATAATATTATTTTTATTTTCAAAACTTTTATTAAAAATATTCTTCCTCCATGCCAATTTATAAATATATTTTACCATCTTATTTTTAAAAAATAAATATAATTTTTTAAAAATACCTTTCATTAAATATAACTTTATTCATAAAAATATCTTATATTTTGAAATATCAAATTACTACTAAAAATGTGTTATAAACAGAGGGAGAGAGAATAATAAGTAAATGAATTTTATAGCTGTTTTATTTCCAACTTAAACCTTATTTAAAATAATTAGACATTGATTTTAAGAGTATATAAAAAATGAGCAAAACTAACTTAATAATAATCGGTCATCAATTTTTTTATTTAGATATCATTCTATTAAAAGTAACCATATTCAAAATACAATCGAGCGTTAAATTAAATGTGAGCATCTCTTCTACATAAATTTGTTATATTATAAAGAACTAACTCTTTTCATTAAATCTAACCTCTACAATCATTAACTCTTTGTATTGTCATCAACATTTAAAAAAATTTATTATTTTTTCATTGGTGGTTACAGAAGATTCCTTTTAAAATTTTTAAATTACTTGTATCACTTGTCAAATAAAACTATTCCGCTCACCAAACACTAAAATAGCTAATTTAATTGTACATAAAATAATAAATTTTGAATAATTTTTTGGTCAACTAATTAATTAATAAAAAAATAATAATAAAATATTAAAATCTCATCGAAATATATCAATGACAATTAGATCCCTCAAAATATTACAAGTCCTCTAAAATTTTTAGGTACCTTTTTGACATTAATAATTTTAAATTAAATAATTAAATTGTCCCTTGTTTAAAATTTAAAAAAAAGTTTACGTGAAAAATTATGATTTCTTATTCAATATTTGCGATTTCAAAAATAAATGTTGTAACTAATTATTTTTATAACTTAAACTTTAGTGATAAAAGCTCACATAAAAAGTTATTATTTTTTGTTCAATTATTGTAATTTGCGTAACAAAAGCAAGTTATGATTGTTTAAATAAAAATTATGATTGATTATTTTTAAAATTTAGATTTCAATAATAAAGGAATTTTCACATGAACACCAAAAATAATTTTTGTAATTCACATAATTAAAGTTGTGTTACTCAAATAAAAATTGTGATTGAGATTTATTATTTTCAAAACTTATTTATCAATTATAAGAAAAAATTTATGTAAAAAGTTATGATTTTTTATTCAATTTTTTAATTTATAAATAAAAGTAGTAATAAAAAAATAAATCTAGACCTGTTATTTTTATTTTAAACAAAGAGCAATTTACTTATTTAACCTAAACTCGTTAATACAAAAGATGTATTTAGAGATTTCAAAAAAATTATGATATTTTGAAGGATCTGATTATCATTTATATATTTCAATGATATCATTTTCCCTTAGTTAATTGTAATTTAACCTAAAAAGAAATATGATTAAACTTTTTTTTTTGAGCAACACAAAGAAATATGATTAAACTTAAACATGATTTTTAAATCACTATTGGCAATTTTTTATGCTATTATTGATATTATGGATTATCTATGTTTATTACTATTATGCCCACTCAAACACCTCAGCACAACCCATCGCTTTTATTATGTTTAGATTGGAGGGGCAAAGAAGATAAGGTGTTTTTTTTTTTGTGAGGGGGGGGGGGTGTATTCAGAGTTTATCATCTTTAAGAGTTTGTTTATTACTGTTTTATTTATTTATATTACTTTGATAATTTGATTAGTTTCGCGTTAATGATATACTTATGAATGATTTATAGTGTTATACTAAAATTCCATTTGGTTATTTTTTTGCCCAAAAAAAAAATCATTTGATTTGTAATTTTTTTAATGAGACGCCGCTTCAAGTTTAAAGGGGGCTATGGTCGACGCACAAGAAGTGTCAAAATCATGAGTGTCAATTCTCACATCCCATCACTTCTTTTATTTTAATAATGAATAAATAAGTATATTTTAATTGAAATTTAGGTCCAACAATATTATAATTTTTAAATTTTTTTATTATATAAATTATTTTATTAACTTCTAAAACCACAATCTAACTCTTACTGTTGACATAAATTAATTTTGATCTTTAATTAATAAAAAATGATAAACAAAATATAAATAATTATAGAAAATGATAAAAAATATCTTGTCATTTTCTATCATTTTTAGATCTTTTATTTTTATTTTTTGTTCTTTTCTATCATTTTTCTTGTCAATTAAATGTTAGAGTTAACTTTTATTAATAGTGAGGGTTAAATTGCACTCTTTTTAAAGTTGAGAGAATAATTTATATAGTAAATAAGTTGAGATCTATGGTGATTATTGATCTAAAATTTAGGGAATAATTTACTCATTAACCCTTTAACAATTAAAAGTTTACTGGATTAGTATTACCTAATGATAAATAAATGGGATAATGACATATAAGTGTTATTGAAATATAGGCGATATAGAGTATTTACATAACTCACATCAAATTAGCTAATCATACTGTAATTTTCAGGGACTTTTCTTTTTTAATGTTAGATTTTCTATTCAAATTAATATACTAAACCTCTAAAAATTAGCTTTTACTGATGGATTTATAATTATTATTAATTATAATCAAAGAGACAGAGTACTGACATACAACTCTCATAAAATGAGCTAATTGTACCCTAGTTTTTAGGGATTTTTCTCTTTTGATAACATTTTTTCTTTCTAAATTATCATACTAACCCTCTAACTAATAGTTGTTACTGATGAATTTGTAGTAATCATTAGTTATAATCTAATTTATTACTCATTATACTAACCCTTTAAATTAAGAATCTCACTTTCTAAATTGTTGAACTTGTAATTATCATTAGTAATACTATAAACCAGTCACGGGGCTCCATTGTAATTTCAAATTATAGATAATATGATAATTTGATTAACACCTAAGGGATAAATGAAACACTTGGTCTGTCAAGATTGTAGCAATCATCAATTTAATCCCTCAAATTTAATTTTTATCAATTTAACCTTTAAAATTTTTTTCAATTATCGATTTAGTCTTTATTGTTTAAAGAAAAAGTAATATTGTTAAAATTTATTAATATAAATAGGGAAATATTGATGCCATATAGATTAATAAAGAGAAACATGGCTATTTATGTAAACATACTAAAAAATTTTAAAAAATAAAAGAACAAAATGCACTTCAAAGGATTAATTAGATTGATAAAAATTAAATTAATTTGTAAGCTAATTTGTTCTCATTTAATTACATATAAATGTCAATTCATTAATATACTTTACACATTAGATTAATTTAAAAGTTAATTTATGTTTTAAAACTTCAAAACTAACATGATAATTAAAAAAACAGTTGGAATCAAATTAATAAAAATTAAACTTGAAAAACTAAATTGATAATTAAAACAAAGAGAACTGAAAGATTCATTACAAGTAGGACTTATATGCCAATCCCCTGTTGCATTGGCTCTCATATCGTACATCATTATACCAAAATTAATTAATGAATAATACAAACACAGCCTCGTGGCCAAATGGAAAAATAACAGGGAGGGAAACAGGGGAATGCTTTATCTGCTCGAGGGGACATGGCACTGATGGCAGGGGCACTGATCTGTGCTGTAGAAACACGATTGAGGAATGCTCCATTTGCCACAAACATCGTACCACCATGCCCCAGGTCTCAAAAAACTTCTCCAAAAATTTGTATGAATTTTATGACTAAACCGCACAACTCAAATAAAATTTGAATAATTATCTCTCGGTGCTTAGATCAAATTAGTAAGGCAATTGATCTAGCTTAACTAGAGATTTTGAATTTAATCACTAAATATGCAATAGCAATTAAATTCTCAGTAAAATACTTGTCCCTAAAAAATTGTCTGCAAATCATTAACCGGATTAATTTAAACCAAAGACTTGGAATGCCAAAGCTTACCCAAATAAAAAAAAAAAAAAAGCACCATCTCAATTCAATATTCATTTTGTGAAAGTAAGAAATCCGATACAATAGGTATCAATTCTGCATTTATTAAATGAGTACCGGTTTTGAGAGCAACCTTTCAACAAGTCTGATTTATCTAACACCCCAAACATCCGGCAGAAAAGAACTACCTAAACAAATTTTCATGCATTAAATAACGAAGATTGAGGAGGACAAGTTGTTGACTATATATATATATATATATGTGCTGATTTTCACATCCATCAAGTTGCACAACTAGTTTTATGAAATATGAAATAAAAAAAAATATTTACTCAGTAACCCTATCCACGTTTAGACATATCTTTGTTAAGGTCCGCACTCAAAAAGAAGAGCCAAAAAAGCACAAGATGAGAGCATGCCAAAATATTTGTTAATACATGAGCCTTTGAGTGTATATGATACGATATACTATTTCTCAGACCTCACCCACCATTGAATTTTTTTCTTTTTTTCAAAAAGAAAAAAGGTACCAATCAACTCTATATTCAAGCCTACTACTACTGATCCGTTTTAGACAGGTTAAAAGGGTAAAACCAAATATGCGACACCTGTGGTTTTGCCAAGAGACTACACGGAGAGTGAGGACAAAAGGAAAAGGAAAAGGTAAAAAAAATTTTTTGGGGGGGGGGGGTGGTGGAGAAATAAATGAAACCTATCAATCAATTTATAGAGATACAACCACCTTATACCTGAATGATGCATTCAACAAGCCTAAAATTCACCTATGCTAAGGCTTAACTTCACCCATGCTTAAAAGAGTTCGAGCCGACTCAATTGCTTTCTCACCCCCAAGGTCCGAGGCATCTTCAGTTAATTCTTCTTCTGAATCCACCGACAACTGAGCAGAACTTTGTTGGTTTTGCTGCAAATCGGTACTCTTGAGGAGCAAATTGTTTGATGAGATAGAGGCAGTTGCAGCCATGAGAGCAGCGGTTGGTGGGCCATGTCTTTTCTTGGGCACAGGCATGTCATGGTCATGTGCTCCTTTATATGTAATGATGATAGCATTAGGATCATCTACTGCAGTCTCAACTTGCTTACGGACAGGGCATCCAGCAGATGTGCATCTATAGTAATTTCTGAAAATTTAAGAAGTTAACGGAAGAAAGAAGATTGAAGGTCCAATTTAAGAGAAAAGAAAGAAAGGGGGGTTGGGGATTTTGAAGGCAACGAAACAAATAAAGAAATAAGAGCATTTATTGCTCAAAGAAAACATCAGTTTAGATCATTGTTGCTTCATCACTTAGCCTATTCCTCCTCTCATGACAACTAGGTAGCAGCTCCACTCAGCATAGCAGAAAGTAATGGACAACACCACCAACAACACAACTTTGACTCCAGAAGATAAGAAATATTGTATCTCCCTCTGTTAAAAGGGATGAAACTCTCATTATTCTGACTATAGGATCCAAATAATCATTGAAAAGGTGGGAAAACATGACCTGAGCATGCAGAAAAGCGTATAAAAATAATTGATACTTAGCAGCCAGGTTGCTTTGTTTAATGCAAGGCCAAGTAAGTTCCACACTCCAAACTGCATAAACCAGCTGATACCTAACACAGCTGCCTAGTGGAAAAGCATCCACGAGCCACAAGGATGATGCTATCATCACCTCTCGTTGCATCCATAAGAGGCACAGAAATATGCATCTAAATACAACACATATGGGCTTATTTGGCACACAGAAAGTTGGAGAAGGAAATGGCGAGGGAGTAGAAGATGGATGAAAAATGATACTTGTGCCTTTACAGTCACTTTCGATAACTGATAATAGGAGTATAATAGACATTAAATATTTTGTGTTTTATATATTGAAGATGAAATATATTCCCTCGAGATACCAGACAGACCCATATTGCCTGAAATTCCAAAGAACGTTGTAATCACTAATCAGTGTTGTCAATGCCCCAATGGTGGTCAACGGTCATCATGGCATCGCTGGTGTCCTTTCCTTTGGTGTAGCACCCATAATGGAGGGATATAGAAATTAAATGTAGGACATAACTTTTGCAATTAAAAAAAAAAAATCAATGGGCTTCCCAAATTGAGGGTATTGCGTGGAATCTCTTTCTCAGCATGACTGTTTAAACTTAATCAACTCAGCCAGAGGAGGGTTGTATCAGGCCTTCAACAGCCAGTATAAAACTCCATTGAATCTCACATGAATATGGACAATAGACATTTTTCTGTTGATGCTAGATAAAGCACAATGACATCATGCAATCTAGATAACTGACCCCGTCTAATAAAATAAAACTTGTTGTCTTTATTCCCAATTGACGAATATACTATGAGAGCTGTCATAAAAGCAATCCAGAACACAGAATATTAACAAGGCTTGACAGTTAAGAACCTAGGACCTAGCTCGCTCAGTCAAAAGGCTGCTGCAAAGAAAACGATACTGGTGCTTCAAAGCACTGGCTTAAGGTTCCCAACCCACCTCCCACATAACATTACATATACCAAAAGGAAAAAAATTACCAAAATATAAGAATAAATACACTATGTTAAAAGTCAGTCAAAGAGACGACCACTGGTTTGACATTCACAAAGATGTTTGCAAGTATCTGTCTTTCTTCAAACTATTTAAACGCATATAAATGCATCATGTTCATCTAACTTTATCTTTGATATAAAAAGTTATTTTAAACACCATTAGATTAAGCAAAATTGAAGTTTCATCATCTTGGTTCATATACATTAATTAGTGATATCAAAGGTATCAAAACCACAAAATATGTGAAAGAAGAAAATAAAGACATAACAGAAAAGCAAAAACACATCGGCATGCACCTGGGATGAGAATTTCCCCTGACCATTTTCTGTCCATACTTGCGCCATCGATATCCATCACCTGATATCTCAACATCCCCTGCTGCATGTACAACAAACTTGGATTTCTTTCCAGGTTCCACGTGCAAGTCCAAGTCTGTTAAGTCACCATTCTTCACTCTGGTTACCAGATTACAGAAGGCCATTAAATCAAATGCTAGTAAACCTTTCACAATGAGATTTGAAAAAGAACTTATTGTCTAACTTTTTACTTCCAAAGAAATTTATTTGATGTGCAAACTTGCCTTCTTTTCAGCTCTGGTTCATCAATATGCTCCACCTTCAAAATAATTTTACCATTCTCGCTAAGACCAGATGAATTTTGCCGTTTCTTATCAGCATTGCATGGTAAATCTTGTAGAGGTTCTTTCGTAGAAGAAGACGGATCTGCATCTTTGAGCACTCCAATGGGCTGTTCTGGAAGATTGGCTTCTACAGTAGGTTCATCAGATGGCATGAACTTAATTTCCCCAGTGGTGTTAGTCTTCCTTAGCGGTTCATGGCTGTGTTGACCTTTATAAATAATCTCTATCATAAGCCCTGAATGATTGCAAAATTCAATCTTCTTCACACAACACCCTGAATGAGTACACCTGTAATAGCTTCGAGAACCAGTTGGACTCTTAACTTGCTTCTGACCATACTTCCGCCAGTTGTATCCATCAGATGCAGAAGTCCTTGCAACAGTAACAGCAGATAAAGCTTTACCACCAGAAGAATTTTTCTTGCCCGCTCCCAGCACGTGCACATTATTAACGCTCTGAGGAGATAGTCTTTGTTCTGGTACAGTTGAACTAGGAACAGATGATAAAGATTGTGTAGCAGAAGATGGTGATAGTGCAGACAATGGAGTTGCACATACAGTCACCTCACAACGATCTTCTGTCTGATTCTGAGCTCCCTGGAATGTTTCTCTTACAACAATTTCCTTGTTTGAAGGTCCATTTGGCTCCTGAGAGAGGTTGTTAATTCATAAAATGGCCTATTTTAGAGCTCAAGAAACCATATATAAGTAAATTAGATGGACGTGCTTTATAATGATGTAAACTGAATACAGTAGGTTAGAAATAGATCATCAGGAAGTAACCAAATGACTAATTGCTCATACGCTTTGGCTTTCCAACAGTGAAAATTTACAACGAATATAAGAAAGCTACTTTCAGTGATCACAATTTTAATTTCTCATTGGATATGTAAACCATTTCAACACACGATGACCATAAGGTGACCAGTATATCAGAATTAGATGCCAAATTTAAAGTTCAAAATAGTGTTGTGTAAGTCGTAAACACCGGGAGCTGGCTAAAAAAAAAGTCATAGACCCCAGGAAGGAGAAGCGTTGACAACAAGCCAAAATTTGACGACCACCAAAAAGATTTTACAACAAAGATGCTCTAACCTTACTTTCAGCTCTGGCATCAATCCGCGTAGTAGAGATTGCCTGCAAATCTGTGGCACCAACCAACATTTAATGACCTTAAAAAAAAAAAAAAGACATGAAAGCGAAAAAAAGAACAACGTGAGGACGCCGGTTAAAACTAAAGCTTACCAGCACTCTGACTGGACACCACCGATTCAACCGAAGAGGCCACGACTAGGGTTTCTGAAGTAGATTCTCGCGGCTCTGCGGCCTCATCCGGAGGCTTACAATTCCGTAACTCGATAGACGGTTCTTTACAGACTCGTTTCCGGTGCTTTTCCTCCTTACCGTCGTCGTCGTCGTCGTCATGGTGTCCTTCATTTTTATCCTGACCCTCTCGTTTATCCTCTGGTTCTACAGGACGATCAGCGGTTCGAATTGGAGGCGGGCGAAGAGCGTGGTGCTCAGGCATGGCCGCATAGGGGATGGTTCGGAAGAGGGAGGAAAGCCTTTTTATAGGGTCCGATGTGTGACTGTGAAGCGGCATGGTGGAAGCGACGAGAGACCAAGGTTGGTCTCTGTGGAATGTGACTCTATTGTGTCTTTGACTGCCATTGACTCTCTCACAGAGCTCTCTTGAATAGTTGAATCGAACCCAAGGTAACGGTCGCCGTCAATTTGGGAGTTACGCTTAACGGGAAGACAGGACACGCTTGTGTCGTCGTTGCTTGTTGCCGTGAGTTGACGGATCTTTGATTCAGTCCCAGGCGTGTTTGGGAATTGGGATGGTGTTTTTTTATTTAAAAAAAAAAAATTATTGTTGGACCAATTTATAGAAGTCGTTGGGATGAAATGGAATGAGTAACACTTTCTTTATTTGGGCCAATGAATGAAGACAAGTCTAGCGACGAGGGTTTTTGGCAAGGTGATTCATTATCGTTGCCTCCCAGCTGTCTCTCTGCTGCACTTTTTTTTTTTTTTTTCCCAAGTGACTCTGTGATCCCTACAGCCCTAGGAGAAGCCGCTTGAGTAGGATCGTCACATATTTTTCCGATTTTACATATAACTTATTTTTAATATATTTTATAAAAAATAAAAAAATTCAAATTTATTAGTTCTACCTAAAAAAAAATTTGACAAGTTTTTTACTTTCTTTCTATTAAATATATATACACTTTAATAACATATTTTCTATTATCAATATTTAATGAGTAAAAAAATTATAATAAAATTCAACAATATATTCTCTTCATTTTTATTTGTATAGTACTTTTTAAAAGTTTTTAATCCATAATATAAGACACTTTGTAATAATTAGATAATTTTTTTAATTTTATATTTTCTTGATTAAGATAAATATATTTAATATAGTTGTATTGTAATTTAAAATTAAAGATAAAAATGAAAGAATGTTTTATTTTTTTGTGATGTTAAGAAAAAAAAATTAATTTATTTTTAAATATATGAAATGATTGAAAATGAGATTGGATGAATAACTTATAAATATGATTAAACAATTATTCTTTCCCTACCTTGTAAAATATGGTCAGAGCGAGTGGTACGGTCATTGCCTCTAATCACACCGTGGAGACTTAAAAAAAATTAGTTAAGACTGTTTACTTTATCGATTTCTCCACAGTGAACTTAGGTAATTTCTTCTCATTTTAGGAAGTTCGTTCCAAAAATTTATTTGTCGACGGCCTATTCAAGTTACTTTTAAAACAATTTTTGTTTCTTTGAATAACTTTCAATTATTTTCTAATGGTAAAAGCTTATAATGATTGCTCTCCAAACAATTTTGAGTTTATTAAACTAACTTTTTTAAAATATATCTATACAAGCATTGATTTCATTGTAATGACCTAATATTTAAGAGAAAGCTAGCATTTCTAAGTTTTTTAAAAATTTTGCTCCTAATTTAGTCTTTTAATGCACAAACAAGGGAGACATACATACACGAACTTATGCATATGTATAATAATAATAATAATAAGCTCCACCGCATTAAGTTAAATCAGTTATATAGATTACACAATATTATTATATTTTGTTGTCAACCAAACTTTTAAAAAACATATATGCAAATGTGTCAATGTCATACTTAAGCTTGAATACTCTTAAGGAAGGCAATGCTATTGCAACATTCTATTGTTAGCATGGCAGAGAGTATAAGATGGCAAAACTGAAGTTTTTGTATGAGCAAGTAAAAAATGGCTGCCATCAAGCAATACTGAGGTGATGCAAACCACAATTCAGATAATAGAAAAACTGAGCGAAAAATGAATGAATTGATTGAATTCATTAGCTGTGCAAGTGGGGTACATATAAAGAGAAATACAGAATCTATTAAAACAGTATTACGTAAATACAGTAACAGAAATATACAAGATAAAATATTATAATATCCTAACAGTAAGATACATGCAATATAAGTACTAACTCAAACTACGTAAACTAGGCTATGTACTGGCCTTTAGTGACTTCTTTAACAGCCCCCTTCAAACGAGAAGGTGGATGAGTAACCCTAAGTTTGTCTCATAAGTAGATGAAGGATGAAGCTCCCAGAGGCTTAGTCAAGAGATCCACAGTTTGTTCAGCAGAAGGGACATAACCAATCTCAAGAGTATGATTAAGGACTTGATCACGAACGAAGTGAACGTCAATTTTGATATGTTTAGTGCGTGCATGAGCTACAAGGTTCTCTGCAAGTGCAGTAGCACTTAAGCTATCACACCAAACAATGGGAGCTCGTGGAACTAGTGCTTTGAGTTCAGATAATAACACCATTAGCCATTTGATCTCTGTGGTAATGTTAGCTAAAGCTTTATACTTTAACTCAATGCTAGAGCAGGCAACTATGCTTTGCTTCTTAGAAGACTAAGACACTAAGGCTCTTCTAATATACACGAGATAGCCTGAAACGAACCTATGATCCATAGGACAGGCAGCCCAATTTGCATCTAAGTAAGTTGAGACTTCTGAACGCCTAATAGGACAAATCTTGAGGCCCACCGATACAGTGCCTTTCAAGTAAAGGAAGATATGCTTGACGGCTTGCCAATGTGCTGTTGTTGATTTGGCAAAGAATTGGCTTAATTGATTGACTGAGTATGCGATATCCGGTTTGGTGTTAGTTAGATATTGTAAAGCTCTGATTGCTTGTTGAAACTTGGTTGGCTTATGTAAAGGGTCACCGACGCTAGCTGAAAGGAGCTTACCAGCTGCCATGGGAGTAGAACATGGTGCGGCGTAGAGCATGTTGAAGTGTTGAAACAATTCAGTCGTGTACTTGGCTTGGTTTAAGTAGAACCCAATAGGATCATGATGAATCTCAAAACCCAAAAAGTAGTAAAGATCACCAAGATCTCTGAGTGAAAAAATAACATTTAGTTTAGCAGTGAATGAAGCCAAGTGTATAGAATTGTTACCAATAAGGAGTATGTCATCTACATATATGAGAAGTATGATGATAAACCTGTCACTATGCAGAATAAATAAAGAGTGATTACTCTATGTGTTGAAGAAACCCCAACTGAGTAGTATATTCTAAAGTCACGCAAACCAAGCTCGTGGAGCTTGTCGAAGACCATATAAAGCCTTACATAATTTGCAAACAAAGTAAAGACGTGCAGAGTCAACAAATCCCTCGGGTTGTCTCATGAACACATCTTCCATGATATAATCATTCAAGAAGGCATTATTAATATCAAGTTTTTTAACAGGCCAGTTGATGGATGCTGCAAATGCAAGAACAACATGAATGGTGGTGATCTTAGCTATAGGACAGAAAGTTGATCCAAAATTGACTCCAGCATCTTGTTGAAACCCCCTGGCAACAAGTCTTACCTTGGGTCGATTAATAGAACCATATGTTTTGTACTTCATTTTGAAAACCCAACGACAGTCAACAACTTTAGTATCGGACGGTGGTGGAACTAACTCCTGAGTATTGTTTCGAATCAAAGCATCATACTCCATTTGCATAGCATGAGTCCATCTGGTAGATTTAAGAGCCTGTGAGATAGTAGCTGGTTCAATATCATCAATAATTTTTGCAACAACAGAGCCCACGAAAGGATAACAAGGCTTAAAGATTCCTTTCTTAAATTGTGTTGTCATGGGATGACCCAAAGGTGATGGTGTAGAGTTGTTAGACTCAGAAGATAGATCTGAGGTGGAGGACGAGCTCAAATTAAAAGTTGGATTTATACTTATAAGAGGGATGGGCTTGTCTTGAGTTGGCCTAATGGGGCTGTCGCGATCATTATGTGGAGCAGAAGAATTTGATGCAGATGGTGAGTCAAAAGGATCAAGTTGCCCAGTGTTAATAAGTGACGGAACATATTTGAGGTAGAACGGAAACATAATAGTTGTAGTTTCTTGCTGTCGAACAACAGGTTGAGCCACATAAAGAAAACCTATAGAGAAAGGAAAATCACATTCATTGAATGCCACATGACAAGAAATAAACACCCTTCCATTCAAGTTGAGACATTTAAATCCTTTATGTTGCTCGCTATATCTAAGTAGAACACATTTTTTTGAGCAAAATTAAAATTTGTGTTGGTTATATGGTCTCAAGCAAGGATAACATGCACACCCAAAAGTTTTGAGTCTACTATAATCAGGCTCTTTGTTGAAAAGTTTATGATATAGAGATTTCCCTGTAAGTATAGGAGTAGGAGTTAGATTAATAAGGCATACAGCAGTGTGAAAAAATTCCCACCAATATCAAAGAGGCATTTGAGCTTGTGCTAGCATGGTCAAGCCCAATTCAATAATGTGTCTATGTTTATGTTCAGCTCTACCATTCTGAACAGAGGTGTATGGGCAAGATATCCTGGCTTGAATTCCACAATAAGTGAGAAAACTTGTAAGACTTTAAATTTCTCCTCTACTATCACTCTGTAGGACTTTAATTTTTGTTTTAAATAAGTTCTCAACGAAGTTCTTAAATTGAATAAAAGCAACTTTGAATTCACTTTTGCATTTTAAAGGATATATCCATGTGTACCAAATATAGTCATCAACTAAATGCACATAATATTTAAACCCATTAATTAAAACAATGGGAGACAGTCCCCTAAACAACTGTGTGTATTAATTCAAGAGGAGAATTTGAGTGCGAAGTAGAAGTATCAAAAGGAAGATTGTACATCTTTCTAAATTTGCAAGCCTCACAAAAGAAGGATATATCATTACTAGAAACTTCAAAATTATAGGAACGCAAAATTTGAGACAAAATACTAAAGGATGGATGGCCTAAACAACAATGCCATGCCTTAAGTTCATCACTGAAAAGCTTATTTTTCTAAGAGATAGAATAACAAACTAAAGTATTATTTGATGCTAAATTTAAAGTTTTAAACATCCCATTTTCTTCACGCTTCCCTTAGTGGAGGACTGCGCCTGTCTTCGCATCTTTCACACAACAAAACTTGGAGTAAAACTCAACAAAAGCATTATTATCATCAATCATTCTGCCAACAATAATTAAGTTCTTATCAATATCAGGAGAGTGCAAAATGCCATTAAGTTGTAAACTTTGTCCATCAGAAATATGTAATTTATTATTTCCAATATGTTTGATACGAAGTGGATATCCGTCACTAATGTATAA